GCCCAAGGTTAAAGGGGCTCTGGAGGTTATTTTGACTCACACTGAACAAGACTCCTCTCCACAGCCCCTCCCTCTCCCCCCCAACCCCCAGAAATACAAAAAGCCATCTAGCCTGTGCTTAACAACCTCTAATGATGGGGAGCTTCCTACTTATTGAAGCAGCCCAACTCACTTTGGGGTGGCTCTGATTCTTTAGAAGGTTTTCCTTACATGTAGTGTGAATCAGCTTCTCTACACCCTCTATCCACTGCTCCTGGACCTGCCCTCTGGGACCAAGCAGAGCAAAACCAATTTCTCTTGAACATGGAAATCTTTCCAATGCTTTAAGATCTGTCCCTGCTAAGGCTTCTCTTCTCTAATCCACCCCAGCTCAGTGACCTGGTTGCCTTCTTCTGGGCATTTCCCACCTTATCAACGTTCCATCTAAAATTAATTTCCCAGAACTAAGGGCAAAGCTGTTCAGGGCAGAGGAGTATCACCTTCACTGTTCTGGATATTTATGGTGTCCTCGAGTCTCCTCTTCTTGCTTATTGAAGGAAGGACTCTGTCCCAGAAATCTTTCTGACTTAGGATTAGAAAGTCCCTGTTGTTGTTATTGTTGTTGTTGTTCAGTTGTGTCCAACTCTGTGACCCCATTTCGGGGTTTTATTGGCGAAGATACCAAAGTGGTTTGCCATTTCCTTTTCCATCTCATTTTACAAATGAAGAAACTAAGGCAAAAAGGATTAAATGACTTGCCCAAGGTCACACAGCTAGTAAGTGTCTGAGGCCAGATTTGAACTCAAGAAGATGAATCTTCCTGACTCCAGGTACAGAGCTCTATCCACTGCAGCGCCACCTAGCTGCCCAAAAGTCCTTGTACTTTCTGCTTCATTCTGTTATAGGGATCCTATACCCCCAATTATACTTTGGTAAAAGTTCTGCCAAAGAAGCCTCATAAGAGATAGGTGGGACTGAGGCACCTCAGTTTTCCTTTAACTCCAGATTCTTTGGGTCTTGTGTAAGTAAAAGAAAGGAGGAAAGTCAAGAGGAAAAAAATAAAAGCTAGGTGGAAAGAAATCTGGCCGAAACTAGTTTTAGACCAAGATCTCAGACCACATACCAAGATAATCTTAGAGTATCATTGTAAACCAAGTAGAGGATCAAGGAAGAAATTACATAGCAGATTTATGGTTAGAGGAAGACGTCAGGACTAAACAAGGACCACACAGAAAAGATTACAAGAAAATAAAATGGACAATTTTGATTTTACACAAGGAAAATGAATGCATCTAAAATTAGAAGGGAAGCAGGTAACTGGGGTGGGGGGGGATCTTTATAGAAAATCTAAATACCAAGTTTCTCTGATAAATTTCTCATTTCTAAGAAATATAAGGAATGAATCCAAATTTGTAAGAACAAGAGTCATTCCTCAATGATAAATGTTCAAAGGATAAGAAAAGATCTTTCTCAAGGTAAGAAACTCAAGATATCTATAGCTATAAGAAAATATACTCCCTATAGCTAGTAATTAGATAAATCCAAATTAAAGCAATTCTGAGGTTTCATCTCATACCCATTAGCTTGGCAAAAGCTAACAAAAAAAGAAAGTGACAAATGTTGGAGGGGCTGTGGGAAAACAGGCACGTTGATTGGATGGTTAGACCCCAAGATTAGTCATGAATGTTCTATGTCAACTTAGAAGGGGGTCTCCAGTGTCCCTAAGGACATGCTCATCCTATACTGCTTACTGTCTTTATCAGTGACTTGGATAAAGATCTATACAGCCTGCTTATCCAATTTTCAGAAGAAACAAAGCTGAGAGGAATATCTGACCCAGTGCATGCCAGTCAGCACCCCGCCCCAAGTCAAATTAATCAAAGATTAATTGGTCCAGGCTGAACCGTTGGGCTGAATCTAATTATATGAAACTTCATGGGGATAAATGTAAAATCTTAAACTTGGGTTCAAAGAATCAATTTCACAAGTATGGAGGAGGGATGGCTAGATGGAAGTTCATCTGAAAAAGATCTGGGGATATGAGTGGACTACATGCTCAGTAGGAGACAATAGTGTGGTGTGGCAGCCAGGCCACTTGAAATGACTTGAGTCTACATTAAGAAAGGTGTATTGTCCATGAATAAGGAGGTAATAGTACCTCGGTGTGCAGCCTTAATCAGACCACACCCAGAGGAGGTTGTAGTTCTGGCTCTGCCATTTTAGGAAAGATGTTGAAAAGATGGGCAGCATTGAAGGGAGGGCAACCAAGTTGGTGAAGGGCCTTGAGATCATGCCATATAAAGATCAGATGACAGAGCTGGGGAAAAGTTTCCTAGCCAGCGCGGTAGCTGTCATCCTCTATCTGAAGGGTTGTGGAAGAGGGATTAACCTCACCTCTGCTTGGCCCCAGAGGGCACAACCAGTAGCTGCAGAGAGAAGTTGTAAAGAAGAGATGTAGGGTTGAGGTCAGGAACCTCTCTCTAACCATCCATGCTTAGCTTCCCCTGGCCCCACCCAGGAAATGCAACACGAGGTCTTTGCCCAAAGGCTGGATGGCCATTTGCTGGGAGGAATGGTGTGGTGGGCCTGTCTGTCTTCTTGTTCAGGGGCAGCTAGGTGGCGCAGTGGATAGAGCACTGGCCCTGGATTCAGGAGGACCTGAGTTCAAATACAGCCTCAGACACAAAACACTCACTAGCTGTGTGACCCTGGGCAAGTCATTTAAGCCCATTGCCTAGCTCCCCACCCCCAACTTTACCTATTTATCTATAGATACCTATTCCATGAGCAAGAAAGGCATCCTTGACTGGTTAGGGCTTGGACAGGACTTTACAGACCAGGCAGGAAGAGAGGAGGGGAAAGGGGGATTCCAGACATGGAAAGGAAATGTCTGAGTCTGTGTCTGAGGAGCACCTCCCTCCCAGCCTTCTCCTGAGGCCATTCCCTGCTGGTCTTCACTCCCAGGGGTGCCCAGGATGAAGCGGTCCCTTGGGGCCTCTCAGGGCACAGCCCCAAGTCAAGTTAATTACATTCTTCAAATGTTTTCCATGTTGAGACCTAACAACAGCCTGCTGGGCCCTAGCCCTCTCGCAGTTAAGCCCAGGCAGAGTTGTGGGGCCTTCCCCCAAGCGGTTCTTTCCTTTCCTTGCCTTCTCTCTCTCTCTCTCTCTCTCTCTCTCTCTCTCTCTCTCTCTCTCTCTCTC